CCCCCGTCTCCCAGTAGGAGCGTTTCATGGAGGTCAGGGGGGGGGGGGGCGGAGGGAAGCCCCGTTTAGGATGGATCCTGCTGTACGGTGTGGTGATGCTAGGAAACCTTTCTAAAGATTTTGGGTGCTATTGAGAGGGAGTCACAGGGCTACGGACTTCTGCATAGGACTGTGGCACTGTGGGGGTGTCAGCGTGCTCCTCCTGCTTGTGTGTCTTGAAGCATCGCTCCTGTACACCGGCCGTTTGCTTCCTACTATGCTGCACGGGCATCGGTTGTAGGGAACACGTGGGAGCCGGAGGAGCAGATCTGTCTGTTCCGTATTTGGGGTCCTTTATATTGGAGTTAAGGACTGGACTAGGTTTGCTGTGGGGGAATTGGTTGCACCTTCATCAGACTGGAGTGCTGAGAAGGTAGCAGAGAAGACAGGAAAGCTGCTGTGAGGCACAGTGTACCTGCCCGTGGAGAACTGCAAGCAGGGTGGATGATGCCTGTGATGATGGTCCCCCAACTAAAAAGTGCAGTGCATGGAGGGGTGGTGTAAAACCGGCCGTTTTGCCCTGTACAGTTCCTTTGGTGCTGAAGGATTTGGGTGGCAGTTTTGTCAACTCCTCAGCCTTAACAAGCGTGTAAACTGAAGCGTTGGAGAGCTCCAGTGTTGCATAGCAGTTGGACTAGGACTTGGGGAGGCCTAGGGCCAGCCACACACACAGAGTAACCTACCTCATAGGGTGGTTGTGAGAGTATCGTGAGGAGGGGGGGACAACTGCGTACGCCTTCTGAACTTGGAGGAAGAACAGAATAATGGGGTGGAGATACTCTTCCCCAGCTTGAGTAATACAGAATCCTACGGAACACGAACCTCTTTCTTGCATGGTTCAAGAATTCACTTTTTGGCCTCTTGTTGAAGATGGGATTTGGCCCCGGGTTTTCACCCTTCTGGCTGCATTGTTTCTAATGTTCTGTTGTTGTGGATGGACTTTACACACACACGGGTTTCATTGAGAGCATGTTTGGGGTTTTCATGTGTGTGTGTTCCTTTTCTGGCAAATGCAGGAGATTTAACCCATGCCTGTGGGTGGCTCAGTGGAGTTTACTGCTGATTGGTATGGAGCACAGGACTTAGTATTGATATTATTTGAGTTCAGTAGCAGGGCTGGATTACAGGGAATACTGGTGTGAACATGGTTTTGATAGCATTAGTTTTGCGTTCCCTATACAGAACTTGGGCCCTTTTGTTTTTTTGTTGTGGCACAGTTTTGTTGCGGTACACACAGACTGCGCTGCTAAAATGTAGGGAATCTGAAGGGTATGGAGAAATGTCCCCTCTAAGGAGGCTGAGCCTTCCCCTCCTCGTGTGCTGTAGGAGGCTGCATGTTCTGTGAGGGGTTGGATAGTCTTTCTTCCCATGATGCTCTTTCACTGTGGCTTTTTGATGTAGACAGCATATAGTTGAAATCTTCATCCTTTATCACTTCCACAGCATTGTAAGGTAAACAGAGTTAAGGTAAACAGAGGATTAAGTACCATCCTGCTGTAATTATGGGAAAGTATGTTGTATTTATTTGCATGAGAACTCAAAGTCTTTGACACAGTAAAGGACCCTGTTATTTAATCTATTTAATCAAGGCTTTTATTTATTTATTTCATTAGATTTTAGACCAACCTCCCCCTGCCGGAGCAGTAAATTCACAACAAATACAATTTTAAAACTGTTGAAAACAATAAAAAACACACTCATTACCTAAGAGATGGTGCTAAAGAATTCATTAGTGAAAAATCTTTGTTGCTCCGGCTGGGGGGGGGGGGGGGGGTTTGGAACGCCAGAAGGACGAGACCTTCACTGTCCTCGGCCAGGCGCCTGGCAGAACATCTGTGCCTCACAGGTCCACCAGGTGGGAGCCAGGGATGAAAACGCCCCGTCCCCGTCCGAGGACAGCTGGACATCCTTCCAGCCAGTCTGATCTGCTGAGCACAGTGCTCTTCTGGGGGTACATTGGGAGGGGTGGTCCCAAAGACACGTGGGTCCCTGACCGTTAAGGTCCTTGAAGGTCAGCACCAGAACCTTGAACTTGATCCGGTACGCCACCGGAGGCCAGTGAAGCTCTCTCAGCACAGGATGGATGTGTGCTACGCAGCTGTATTCTGTACCAGTTGGAGTTTCCGGATCAATCTCAAGGGTTACTGTAGCTAGATCACGGTGAGACAGCTGCCTAACCTGGTGCAGTTGGTAAAATGCCAGTTTGGCAGCATTTGCCACCTGGGCCTCCAATGTTAGGGAGGCATCCAGAATCACACCCAAGCTCCTGACGGTTCGTGCCGGGCTCTAGGGCGCACCATCCAGAGCTGGGAGCTGGCACCCCAGACCCGAATCTCCCCATCCCAGCCACAGGACCCCCCCATCTTGGAAGGATTCAGTCTCAGTTGGCTCTGTTTCAGCCATCCCACCACAGCCTCCAACCCCTCGGCCAAGTTTTCCGGGGCTATATCCAGTGTTCCCTCTAAGCTGAGTCCGTGTGAGCTAGCTCACAGTTTTTTAGCCTCTGGCTCACACGTTTTTGTCTTGGCTCAGGAAGGATGGCTCCAGAGCCAATTAATTTCTGCAGCCGCCAAATCGCTCATTCACGACTTTAATGCCAGTAGCTCACAAAGTAGAATTTTTGCTCACAAGACTCCACAGCTTAGAGGGATCATTGGCTAGGGTTAGGGTTAGGGCCCATCAACAGATAGAGCTGGGTGTCATCAGCATACTGATGACATCCAACCTGAAACTCCGCACCAGTTGCGCGAGGGGGTGCATGCATTTTGTTTCTCTGTTACTTTACTGTTTTCTCTTTTTCTCCCATGTACAGTTTTTACTGGAGTGCTTTTTTGTTATGACCGGTGTGTTTCTGCTATGTCCTGAAATTAATCAGTATTGTACATTAAGAATAACTGAAAATATATATGGCTGCTTAAGAAAGGTTTTACTGCATCTCACAACTGCCTGCATTTGTATTAGTTAGAGAAAGCGGAGCATTTAAATAAAGATTGCATGTCTGTGCTAATAGTTCATAAGTAGCTGCATAGAGAATTGAGTGTTGTGAATATTAATGATTTATGTCTTATGTTAAACTCTGTTATCATTGCAGATTTTAGATCTTTGTTTGAATTGGAAAACGATCTTCCAGATGAGTTGATCCCTAATGGCGAGCTGAATCTTTTAAACAGCAGTGGGAACCATGTTCCAGATGCAGCTTCTAAACACAAACAACTTTCTGATCTTCTGAGGGGAGGCAGCGGCACATCGTTAAACCCAGGAATTGTAAACGTGAGCTCCGGTCCCCCGGTCCCCCAAGGAGTCAACAGCCAAGCCCAAGGGCAGTCGAACAGTGTGAACATTGGCAACCTGGGCGCCATGGGCAAGAATCCTCTGAGCCAGGCAGACACGGCTGGGTCCACTCTGGTCAAGCAGGCAGCCAGCACACCTGGGCCCAGCACACCGGCCACCCAGGCCTTGAGCGCTCAGGCCCAGAAGCAAGTCGGGATGGCGACAAACAGCTCCGCTACCTCTCAGGCCGGATCTGGGATGTGCATCAACAGCGGCTTCAGCCAGGCCCACACGGGTCTTCTCAGTGCTAATTCGGGCCACAGTTTAATGAATCAGACCCAGCAAGGGCAGGTAATGAATGGATCCCTTGGGGCGGCTGGAAGAGGAAGAGGCGCCGGCATGCAGTACACGGCCCCCGCCATGCAGGGGAACACGGGCAGCGTGCTCACAGACACCCTGACACAGGTGTCTCCCCAGATGGCAAGTCACGCGGGGCTGAACCCGACCCAGGCAGGAGCCATGGCCAAAGTAGGTGGCAGGATCTTTGCTGCAGTTTTGTTACAAGGAGGGATTGAGGAGGGATGGGGATCATTTGCTGCATGGCGTATTATTTAAATAGCTTATTTTTATTAATATGAGTTTCTGTAGAAAGTGGGTGAATTGCATTTTTTCCTACCACAGAGACATTGGGGGAGTCATTTATTGTACTTGTTGTTTGGTGCTACTGTGGGTATGACAGTTAGTTGTTCTTGCTTTAAACCCTGATAGGCCTTTTTCTCTTACCATTTCCCCCCACAGAACAGAGTCTGAGTCCAGTGGCACCTTTAAGACCAACAAAGTTGATTTCTGTTTATAAGCTTTCCTGTGCACGCTCCTGCACACGGAAGCTTCTACCCAAGATTAAACCTTGTTGGTCTGAAAGGTGCCCAGTCTGGACTCAGACTTTGTTCTGTTGCTTCAGACCAACACGGCTGCCCCCCCCCCCCGCCCCCCGAAGCCAATTTCCCCACAAGTAGCTGTTGCTGCCAGCTTCGGAGTGGCAGTCTGATTCTTGGTCCAGCGGCATTTCTGTGGCATTTCTTGGTACCTGATAAGTTGATTTTCTGTGACCTGTGCTCCTTCATAATTTCTGGCAGGTTGCGGTTATAAATGTTTGTTGTGAATAACCCTCACTGCCTCGGTTGCTGTAAATGAAAAGCTGTTTATTGGGCTGGCCGCTCTGTTCCGTGCTGCTTGCTACAGTTGCACACGACAGGGGAGGACACAGTTATTGAGCACCTTGTAGAATTGGAAGGCTGGTGTAAGGAGTGGAGCAGAGCAGGCATTGTGGGGCAGACCAGTCTTTGTGGGGCCTCTGTCCCAAAGGAAGTATTGAGACTTGTGTACTTGCAGCTGGCTGCGTGAGCGGCTGTGGCTCAGTGGTAGAGCATCTGCTCGGCCTGCAGAATGTCCTGGGTTCAGTTCCCAGCATCGCTACTTAAAAGGATGTGAAGGACTTCTGCTTGAGAGGTCCTGGAGAGCCACTGCCTTTCTGAGTAGACAGGACTGACCTTGAAGGGGACCAAGGGTCTGATTCCGTGTAAGGCAGCCCCTTCATGTGTGTTCATGTGTGAGGGGTTAAGGGGAGGTGTAAAGTACACAGAGAGCGGGTAGCAAGGGTTAGGGATGTCTCCACTTTAGAAGAGCAATGGAACAATATACTTCGCAGTAATGATGGATTGTGTTTAAAATGAAACTCCTCAAAAGCAGCCCATCCACCTCAGCAAGGAAGAAATGCATAGGAGAAAGCTGAGAACAACACATTTAATATGGTTGGATTTGTGTGTAGCAGCACGGAACAATTTCAGGTGGTCGCAGCAGAGTCATGGTTGACATACTCGTTGGCGGGGATTGCACTTTAACCCATCTCTGCATAAATTCTGCTTTTCATGTGGAATTCGGATTTTTGGGAAATAAACTGGCATCAGCAGCTTGTGCATGTAATCTGTTGTGACCAGAAAGGAGACTGTTAGTTGACTCTGATGTACATTGATTATTTTGCTACATTTGTATTGCAGTGGCTTTTGATCAGTAGCTACTGTGGTTGACAGGCCACTTGGATTGTGCTGTGGGTCCTCCACCTGCTGGCACAACTGAGCTGTACTTTTCCTTCCATGTTCTCCAAACAATTCAAAATGTTTTGAGCATCGCTAGGCGAACAGCTGAGCAAAAAGAGGAGACTGTAACATAGTAAAAGCCCTCCTGGATCATATTAAAGGTTCACATAGTCCAGTATCCACTTCCTCTTTCCTACAGTGTGGCCTGTTTTTAGTGATATGGATTTTAATTGAAATAGGGTTTAAAAAAATGTTGGAGGTTTTTAAGGGGCTGAAATGTGGAGTGCGAAGTACATAAATAAATAGCATCCTGATGCATCCCAGGAAGCCCACAGCCAGCACGTGGAAGTCCAGCCTTCCCTCTCTTTGTTTCTTTAGCCACTGGTCTTCAGAAGTTCAGCACCACTGGACATGGAGAATTTCTTTGAGCTGTCATGGCTAATAGTTGTTGACATGCTTGTGACTCAATCCAGTGTTCCCTCTAAGCTGTGGAGTCTTGTGAGCAAAAAATCTACTTTGTGGGCTACTGGCATTAAAGTTGGTTTGGCTACTGCATAAATTAGTTTGCTCTGGAGCCATCCTTCCTGAGCTAAGGCAAAAATGTGTGAGCCGAAGGCTAAAAAACTGTGAGCTAGCTCACACTCACTCAGCTTAGAGGGAACACTGGTTGAATCCTGTGCATTTCTTTGCAGAAGTAGACCCATTTTATTCAGTAGGGTTTCTTCCTTGGTAAGCATGCGTAGGATTGCAGCCCTATTCACTCTGAGTTTGTCTAGTCCATCTAAGGTAGTGGCAGTGAAATCCATGTTGATTGTGCATTCAGTAATGTCACATTTTGTCTGTTATGAATGTACTGCCCATTATAGCAAAGAATTGAAAAAGTTTTTGCTAGCTCTTTCACCACACCCTGCCTTATTTGATGTCATTGTCACAGCCTGCTCTTCTTCCTAAACTAAAAAGCCAAAATCTCCTTAGCTTTTCTTTCTAGGGAAGGTGCTCAGTCTCTTAACCAGTCTGAAGACATTTTATGCAGTCACGTTGGTCTAAAGCAAAATCTAAAAATGAGCAAATGCCACATTATGGCACAAAACAGCAAATGCCACAAGATGGCACAAAACAGTGTGCAAGTTCACTAGAACTTCTCATCAGGCTGGATGTTACAAAAGTAAGCGGGGGGGGGGATATAAGAACATAAGAGCTGTGCCGGATCAGACCAGTGAGGGTCCATCTAGTCCAGCATCCTCTCTCACACGGTGGCCAACCAGTTCCTCTGGAAGTCCAACGATGGGGAGCACATGTCTGAGGACACAGTCTTGGGCCTAGTCTTGGCAACATCCTGTTTAAAATGTTGAGCAAGTATGCAGATTTAAGATGATGCAGGTGTAGCTTAAGATCATGACGTGAGACATCTTGTACACTATTTTTGTAGCATTCAGCCTGATGAAGAGTTCTGGTTAACTTGGAATTTTGCACACATTTTTGTTAGTCTTAAACGGTATTATGTGGCTTTGTTCTACATTCTGGATTAATCTGTTTGGTCACACTTTTTTGCACCTAGTCCAGTCCTTTTGCTGCAAAACTGATGCAGTGTTCTGAATGCTGTTACACCAAAACTTGATATAAGAGTACCATGTCTTCTTTATGCCTGGAGAGGAAAGAGACAGAGCTTGTGGCTGAATTTGTTGTAGAGGAATATTGTGATTACAGTTAAGTACATTAATTATCAACAGCTGCCCTCATGTGTTTCTAAATCTGTTGAACAGAAAAACTATTGTGAGGTCATGTTTCCACTTCCAATCATTATACAAGAGAATAAGTTGTATTTTGCTAAAGTAAGCAATTTAAGTTAGTGACAGATGTGGTGGGGATAGCCCAAGTCTGGTCCCCTGAGCAATGGGGCCACCTGGTCTCCTCTGAGTGGCCAACCTGAAGCAAAGAGTTGTGGTCAGTCTCTTGGCTTGGCCTGACCTGCTTGGCCTTTTCAGTACGGTGGTCCAAGATTGGCTACTGCTTAGGACCTTCCTTCCCTTGTCTCAGCGAAGCAAAGGTATGGGATCTGTTCAGCACAAGCATCAACAAGTGATTGAAATAATATACGAGGTTCCAGCTGCCATGACAAGTTCAGTCTTGAGGCAGGACCACATCACAGTAACTTTTTTCCTACATAGGCAGGGGTCATTTCCTGCAGGAGCGCACAGGAGCGGAGCTCCGGCAGTAAAGAGGCCAGGGGGCGGACACATTCAACAAGCCCCACCCCCTGCTCCCAGCAGCCCTCAGTCAGAGCAAGAAGCAGCCAGGTAAGTTGCAGAGCGCTCCCCCCAGCTCCCCAGTCCAAAACAGTCCAGTGGCACCTTTAAGACCAGGTTTTAGTCAGGTACAAGCTCTCCCTCCTCTGCGAGGACAGATCTGCATGCCCCCCCCCCCAATAGCTAGCAATCCGAAACAGTCCAGTGGAGTCTGAGCGGTGGGTGTTGCCTTCTGACACACTTCCGGTGATGTCAGGGGGTGTGGCATATGCAAGTAAGTTATGCTAATGCACCTCTTTTTCTACAAAATGACCCCTGTACGTAGGTATTACTCCACATTCCTTGAATTTGTCTCTAAATCTGTGTAAATTTTCTTTACAGTTACATATTGAAGCTGATAGGGACCATTGTAGACATAACCCAAATGACAATGAAAAGTTCTTTGCTCGGCTGCTTGGGTCCAGTATAGGGAAGAGGGTAGAGAAACAGAGCTAGCAGTCAAGAAAATAGCCACTTTAGCCTAGTAGAGATAATATAAGGGAACTGTTTTCACTGATAAATCTAAAACATAACTATTCTTACAAATGTGTGACATCTACTTTGTAAGTCATTGCTTCTGCTTAAGGGACAGCTGCCAAACAGCTGGTTTGTTCTGAAATAGGGATTTAATAAGAATGATATAGGAGTCCAGTTGCACCTTAAAGAAGTAGAGTATTTATGCTGGAAGTTTATTTCTGCATAAGCTTTAGGGAGTCAGAGCTCACTTCCTCGAATGAAGGGGAGCGTACGTCTGTTAGGTCTGATTTTATACACATTGGGGACAGGGCATTCCAAAGAGGCCAGTGGATAACAAGATCCAACTTAAAATTAGTTCACTCAGAGAGTGGGTGTGAGACACTCCAACAACAGTGAAGTAGAAGAAACATGAAATCTAATGCAGGATGAAATTTATACTCAGAACTGCAGATTTGGGGTGGTGATCCGAGAAGACCCGTTCCCCACAATAAGAGCACTTGTGAAAAAAGGGCTAGTGAAGTAGTAAACAGTCTACTCAGAGGGCTGCACTGGTAAAAGAGGAGGAATCTGGATATACTGCACATAGACATGTAAAAAGAGAACCCTTTTTCTGGGTGCGTAACCCTCTCTCAGGTCCCGATTGAGTTCGGTTGTGATAGTGCCAGATCTG